ATCTTTGTCTCATAAATGCGATATGGCTAATATTTCTAAATAAATTTACACTGCAAAATAAGAAATAAATTAAATTTTTCCATGTTTTTCTTTTAAATATTAATTAGAGAAAGATTTCTTTCAACTTTAATTTATTGGCTTTGAATCATTACATTTTGCATTTCTTAAAATAAAATATGTTTGGAACATTATTTGTTTGACAAAAATTTATCAATTCGCAATCCAAGAACATTAAAAATTTAACTCTACTAGCACCCTTTCTGTTTGTTACCTTTTTAAACTGTTACCTGCTATTTATTAAGCTTTGTTTCACTATAGATTTAAAAAAAAGCAATTTCAGTAGTAAACAGTGTAAATTTGTCTAGAGTGCGAATTACGTAGCATTTTTTCATAATATTTATTTGAAATGTAAAATAGAATATTAAATGATAGCTTATAATCTTTCTATAAATAGTAGCAGAAGGTAAATATCTTTATCTTTTCTAATAATAAAAATATAAATAAAGAAAACTAATTGATATTCCATGTTGGTAACTTTAATCTTGGTACCAAAACTGTGGTATCTACTGCTTCAAATAACTTATTATTTGAGTTAAATATTTTTAATCAATAGGGAAACAAAATGCAGATATGCAGATTCAAGTTAATGTTCATTTGATTTTTCTTTTTTTTTTTTAATTTTTGGTTCAAATCAAAAAATTGCATTGCTGTTTCACATTTTATGTGCAAGAAATATTACAATCGCAGCTACAATTTTTTCTTCAGTAAATGGAATATTAAATTTTTTGAGAAAAATGTTTTTTAATTTCTCTCCATTTTGTAAAAGGCCCCTTTAGATCACAATGCAAAATGTACAACAAATTTGAAAGCTGGTATTTTTTTCTTTGAAATAAAGCTATGGGATTGTGCGTAAATAAAATGTGTTTAATTCATGTATAATGTCGGCAAAAATTACTAAGCTTTCAGTGAATTGTCTGATATATTGCTTTCTTATTCATTTGGAGTCAAAAGAGAGAGGATTGAAACTTTGCGTAGAAAGCCGGAAATGACACAAAATTTTCTCCGAGTTAATGTCAGCCCGACTGTGTATGAGAGAACCTTTCATTTACCTATTTTAGAAATGGTGCGTGATAATAAAAAAAAACGGAAAAGAAAAACAAAATATGGATTAATTTATTTAGACGGAATAAATAAAAACACAAATTGTTTTTATCTAAAAGACATTTTTCATCTCTTAGAGAGAAATTATATTTTTATGATTGCAGTTTTTACTAATTGCAGATAATTAGTGAGTAGTTTCTAATGCCTTTTAGTAACTTCCGAGCAACTACTTTTGTCAAACTCGCATTTTTGCTTTCACACAGAAAGTTTCACTTCAACTGAACTTTTGTATTCAAATTTTTCTAGGAAAACTACCTCTTTAGATGGAGAAAGATAAAAAGAGTATTTATTTTATAGCAACAGTGAAAAATATTTATTTCTGTGAAGATTATACTTAGCACACAGCTTTCATTTTTAAGTTCCAACGGACACTTTACTATCAAAGATCGTGACTTTTCCTGAGGATTTAGCATGACTGTAGGGGAAACATTTTCACTAGAATCCTTCGACCGACATTTTATGAGCATTCTTCTGGGACAAATTTCATGAACTATCGCATATTTACGATCAACATAAGCTGCAAAATAGCCTTTTTTTGGAAATAAAAATAAGAAAAAAGTTCAACGTCTAGCTGACTTTTAACGTAAAATATTTCAACTATATAAATTATAACGATCTTTATTTATGAATGCTCAGAAAAAGTTAAAATAATAAAATTTGCTCACAAAATAGAAAAAAAGAACCAAATATTTATAAGTATTTTTTTTTAGCTTGTTGAAAGAATATATTTTTTTTATTTAGAAAAAAATGATTTCTGTTATGATTTATATGATTCGCAAAGATTCTAACGTAACTTGGATTCAGCAAATTATGAAAACCTATGAAAGATGAATTATTTGATACATTTCAAGCAGATTACATAAAGCTAAAGTCCTTATTAATACCGAATTAAATAATCAAGAAAAGGTACTGGTTTACATATTTATACTAAGTCATTTCTTCAGAAAGAAGTGGTTTAATACTCACTGCTCCTTCCACCGAACTGCAAACTTCTGACGTCCACTCCCTATTTTTTGCTAATATAAACGTCCGTTGGTAGGTAGGTATTTTACTTACGTCTCACTATAGCTGCCCAGTGGGCTATTGGAGACGGTCTGGGAAACATCCCCGAAGATGACACGAAGACATGCTATTACAATTTTGATCCTCTGCAGAGGTGTTGGCTCCTCCGGTTTGGTAGACTAGCAACCAGTGAGTGAAATCAAACACTATACGGTAGAACAGTTTAACGAAGACCGATACAGCACAATCTTAGTCCCTACGTAGGCTGATCAATGGGGTCACCCATCCGCTTACTGACAGCATCCAATGACTTTGGTGTTCTACTGGGAACCGTGTCATTACGATCAGTCTACTTACTGCGGGACAAACATCATTTGGAAGATCCCTCCCGGTCAGGCCTGATATGCTGCTGAGTCCTCTGGACAGTCATTACAGTATGCTCTCGTCCAAGATTTGCTCAGACCACTCTATCTAGATTTTGGGCAGGTAACTGGTAATTTTAAACGGATGCGAGAAGACTTGCACTGCTCTGCCATTTCTTCTCTGTGTCATATCTTAGATTGTAATGGCATCTCTGTGGCGCAGCTTTTGAAAGAGGGTGATGCAGTTCGTGATTTAATTGTGCGACATAGTCTCCTAAACTTGGTTTAGTTTGTGTAAGTCAATGGGGATAGGCAACAACTGCAAGATAAAGAAGTTTGCTAGTATGGAATAAAAGAAGTGCATATATGAGATTGATGTTCTTTAGATACTGATGAAACTGGTTTGCAAATATATTTAACTTATTTGTACTCAAAGACCGCTAGAAAAATTTGCTTTGGCAGCGTGAAAGCAATCCAAACATGGTTTATTAAGAAGGAAAAAAAACTCTTTCAAAGTTTCGACATGACTAATTTACTGTATAGTGTCCTTTTTTTGAAGATTAATTTCATCTGAAATTATTTCCTCTGAATTCATTTTGTCTATCTTGAAATAATCATTAAATTATAAAGTATAAAAATCTAATAATACACTATCTGCCAATAAGTATTTGGACACATGTGTGATTGAAAAGAAAAACAAACTTTATTCATAATTAATAGTTGGTAGAGCCTCCACGAGAGGTAATTACAGCGTGATCCCACCGGCGCATACTTTCCACAAGTCCTTGCGTGACAGCCAGTGGTATTTTCTTCCACTCGGCTTGGAGAAGACATATAAGTTCCTTCACCGATTTTGGACGGGTAGCACACCCGCAATTCGGTGATCCAACTCGTCCCAGAGGATCTCGATAAGATTCAGGTCTGGACTCTGGGCAGGTCAGTCCATTCGAGTAACCCCATTGGCACCATACCAAGCATTGGTAACCCTCGCAACATGACAGCTGGCATTGTCATCCTGGAAGTAATAGTGTACCACATCGTAAAACTACCACAACGTAGGAAGCACATTGTCATCCAAAATAGTGCAGTAGGCATCGGCATTTAGCTTACCATGAATGGGGATCAAGGGTCCCAATCCATACCAGGAGAAACAATCCATCTCAGGACAGCAGATATTGTCATTTGCATAGGTGTACAAATCCTTTTTGGTAGATAGTATAATATCTTGATCATGTTGTGAAAAAAAATTCATTCCTTAGACGGAGATAATTGTTGACTATAAAAAGTTACTTTTATTTAAAAGTCTTCTCCTTTATCTGAAAATTAAATGTTTGCGTTTTTAAAAGACTAAATTTAAAAGATATTAAAAAATTAAAATGAATTTTTTTTATTGCTTCGAGCAATAATTTCAAAATTTCCTGGATAATTTAGCACTTGCACTTTTCATAACTTATCATTTTAATAAGAACTCCCGCAAGGGATGGCAAGATGTTATTTTATAAGTAAGTATCCGAATCTATTATTAATTGCGCATTTGGTTAAATTTCTGTGATTTCTTAGAAATTATTTTAACCTACATTATCAAAGATTTATAGCTCTTGAACTATTGCTAAATCGGCAAAATGTATCATAGAAATACACTGCTGTACAATTGCTAAGAACGGATAACACTATCATCCATAGCAACCACAAAATGAAAGGAAGCAAAATGTGGAAAATTGGAATAACTGCGGGATATAGTAAGAAGAGGTATGCGTATGCTATTTTTTTTCCACGTCTGTTCATCACGTGATAGCGCTGATAAGAGCTTTAAAGGTTTTGACGCGTGTGGAGAGTTGTTGTTTCAAGTCATAGTTTTACAGGAAAGATTTAGTTGACGAACTTGAAATTTTCGGCATGTCTTCCCGATATCACTTGAATGATTTTAAGCGTGGCCGAATTATTGGAAAGATCGAAGAAGGGCGAAAAATAACAGATGTTGCCAGGGAGTTCGACATCTCTCACAGCGTTGTTTTACGGCTGTGGAAATCATTTAAAACTACTGGAATGTGTAGTAGGCGGCATGAGGGAGGTCGTGTTAGAAGAAGGAAGCCAGCAGAAGACAGGTACCATGTCCTATCAGCAAAAAGGAACATGCGCACCACAGCTCAGCAGGTGGCAAATCAGTTTCTTGCTGCCACAGAAAAGCAGATCTCCCGAAAAACTGTTGCCAGACGTTTGAGGGGAGGAGAACTATACGCCCGCAGACATGTTGTGTGTGTCCCATTGACCAGACGGCACCGTACTGCCCGTTTGCAATAGTGTCGTGAGCATCACAATTGGACTGAACAGGACTGTGCATGCGTACTATTCTCAGATGAGAGTAGGTTCAGTCTGTCATCGGACTGTAGACGCCAATTGATCTGGCGAGAGAGTGGTACTAGTTATCGTCCAGGAAATATCCAGGAAAGGGACCAATATCAGACATGCAGTGTCATGGTGTGGGCCGGCATCATGATCAATGGCCACAAGCGCCTACATGTGGTTGCGAATGGGACTATGACGGGCCAACGATACATTGATGAAGTTCTACTTCCTAATGTTCGTCTTTTCCGTGGTGCTGTCGGTTATAAATTTGTTTTTATGGACGACAACGCAACATGTCATCGAACACTCGCTGTTCAGGATTGTCTAGACAGCGAGGGTGTTTTAAAATATCTGGNCCCCTTTGAAAATGTTTGGGATGCTTTGGGGAGGCAACTTGCTGGTCGAAACTATCCTCCGACAAACAAGAACACCCTCATACGTGCACTGACAGAGGAATGGGATAAACTGCCTCAACAGCTGCTAGATAATATTGTGCAAAGAGTGATACGACGTGTAAAATGTTGCATCACACTCCACTGTGGACATATCCCGTACTGACACCTTTCTTCAAGTTGCCTGCTGACATTTAGATCCATTGTTCCACTTTTCCGTACGCAGCATCAAACGAACATTTTTTTTCAGATGTTTCATAGCTTTTGTACTTTCCAGAACAATGAACATTCTTTATTCTAATGTCNCATTTGGTTAAATTTCTGTGATTTCTTAGAAATTATTTTAACCTACATTATCAAAGATTTATAGCTCTTGAACTAGTGCTAAATCGGCAAAATGTACCATAGAAATAGATGATAAAAAAAAAATTAAATTGAAAAATGAAGAAATGATATTAAAAAAAAAATTGCGAGTCATTCCTAACGTACTTTCTTTGTTAGTTACATATCAAACAATAAAAGGAATCTACATTTAATTAACTTTTACTAATTTTTTTTCTTAATACATTGAAAAAAATCAAACATAAGAAATTTCAAAAAAAAAATCTTATAGTTTCACAGACGTGAATGTAATTTCAAAATTTTCTTATTTCAATTTTTTCTGGAAAAAGATTCTAAACATATGTTAAACTGTAAGAATTTATAATTCGTTAATAGTAAGGAAAAGGTCCTGAGTATTTTAATTTTACGTTTGAAAAAATAAATTATTTAAAAAATACTTGTGGTGACACATGTCAAAAATTATGTCACACTCCCGATGAAATTATTTTTAATGATCATTTAGAAGAGTAAACAAAGATAAATAGGCTAAACGGTTAGAAAAGTATAATATAATATTTTATCATTATTATTTCGTTACTTACATAAAATAATACATATTTTTTGTGAACTATAGTTTATGAAAAAATCTAAGACAATATTTTTTATACATAATAGTCAAATTTGAATGTTTTATTTTAATATTTAATTAAATATTTTCTTCATAATTTTCAATAGTAACTAGAAATACGAACATTTATTTCTAAAATGAGGTAAAGGAAAGCCTCATAAAAATTCAACGTAAAAACATAATACATAATGTACAGGGCATGACTTATATTTTCCTTTATATTGACTTATATTTTCAGTCTGCTTCAAAAATGGAAGCAAAAAGAATTTACACACGCTAATTAATATTTAAATGAAGAAATATTTAAGTGATCAAATTAATATTTAATAGAGGTAGAAAAATAAACACTATAGAAATCTGTCAAGCTACGGTAAATGAAAGTCCACGTAATAAGCATTAAAACCGGTTTATTCGGAGGGTTAAACTTGAAAATGTCTATAATTGCTTATAATTGTCTTTCAACTTCTGTCAGATTCATACTTAAAACATATTTTTTTTTTTTTTTTAACATTTGCACTCTTGTGATTTTTAATTTCTAAGAGTTCGAAAGCGTTTTTCTTTTTCACGGAATTTTAAACTAATTTGTGACTCTAGTGTGAAACATTAGTTGTTTTTATCTTCAATAATGATTCTGGTTACAAATATGAAGGGCAGCTATTATAGAAAATCGTGCATACAGAAAAAAAATGATATAACACCGAAAGTTGTTATCAAGTTGTTAAATTATCAAGAAACTGATTTATGGCGAAAATTATAACATGATATCTTATTGTAATAAACATGAGAAGCTAAGTCGTATTGGTATGAATATGTGCGTAAAAACACTCTTTTTCAGCATATAAATTTCCTTTTGAATTGAAAAATAATAACTCGTTCTATGCAAGGTATTATCAACTATCTATGCTCACCATTAATTGATTTTTTTACTTCTATTATTATTATTTTTTGTAGGAGTTTGTAAGTTTTAAATTTTTAATGATCCCATGAGATGTAAAACGGTGAAAAAGAGAAATTATAATTGGAAAGATTGTTTACAAAAATCAAATTTGAAGTTTGCTGCAATTTATCTTTAGTCAAATTATTAATTAGTTGGTCGACATCAGTTTCATGCAGAGAAATTCTAAATACTAAGTATTATAAAAAAAAGTATTTTAATTGATGCTAACTGCGAAATTATTTATTTAATTTTAAAAACAAAGGGCTTTGAACTGAAGGGAACTTGGGATTAATTATATTTCTACATTATTATTTCCATTACATAATTTTTTTTTCCATTAATTGGAAAACAAATATTTAACTTAATAAATTAATTTAATATTCATTTTTTCCTTTTCATATACAGCTAAAAAATTTCTTTTTTTAAATTTGACATAATTTAACGTAACAGATGTTGCGTTAATAACGCAACATTTGTAAAGAGGGAAAAAAATAAACATAAATAAAAAATAAATAAAAATACAGAGGGAAAAAAATTTCCGTTTATATAGTAATGGTTTATCGGAAATTCTGATTTTCAAAATTACAATTCTTTTTTCTACATATCTAGTAAGAATACAAAAAAAATGAAAAGTCATTTTATTTAAAGAAATGTTTNCACCATTAATTGATTTTTTTACTTCTATTATTATTATTTTTTGTAGGAGTTTGTAAGTTTTAAATTTTTAATGATCCCATGAGATGTAAAACGGTGAAAAAGAGAAATTATAATTGGAAAGATTGTTTACAAAAATCAAATTTGAAGTTTGCTGCAATTTATCTTTAGTCAAATTATTAATTAGTTGGTCGACATCAGTTTCATGCAGAGAAATTCTAAATACTAAGTATTATAAAAAAAGTATTTTAATTGATGCTAACTGCAAAATTATTTATTTAATTTTAAAAACAAAGGGCTTTGAACTGAAGGGAACTTGGGATTAATTATATTTTTACATTATTATTTCCATTACATAAAGTTTTATTTCCATTAATTGGAAAACAAATAATTAACTTAATAAATTAAACTATTATAATTTTTTTCCTTTCGTATACAGCTAAAAAATTTATTTTTCTAAATTTGACATAATTTAACGTAACAAATGTAGCGTTATTAAGAAAAAAAATAAACGAGAAAGATTTCCGTTCATATAGTAACGGTTTATTGGAAATTCTGGTTCTCAAAATTACAATTCTTTTTTCTATATATCTAGTAAGTATACAGAAATAAAGAATCATTTCATTTAAAGAAATTATTTTGTGCCATGCTTAAAGTTTTCTTGATAAAATTACTAAATTTTTTAACACTTTTACTACAAAACAGCATTGCAATAAATCATAATTCATGGTTAATTCTGCCAAAAGTCATTACCAATACACGTCGGTAAAACTTAACGAGTTTTTTAGTGTACCAATAGAGCCAAAAACACAGTAAATTTTACAATATTCTGGTAATTTTGACCCTACTTTTTACTCATTGCATTTAAAAAGAATGATAGTTCGTATAATTTTATTTTTAGTTCTCTGTTTACAATTTTTCAGGGGATGGGAGGATCATAAATCAAGCTAACTTAAAAGTAAAACATATGCCTTTAGGTCTTCAAGATTAATGGAATAACTTCAGAATGTACAATCCATAACTCTCACTTAACAACATGCTAGTCGTTCTGTTCAAACTGTACAAAAGATGAGGAAGAAGTAACAAAAGATTTAAAAAAAAACAGTATTATTTGCTTTATTTTTATTTCGGACAGAGAAATATTTCATCCAATGCACTTAAGCATTGCGTGCAGGGGATTCTGTGAGCTAATGTTTGTATTCTCTTTTAATTAGGGGAGCAAAAAGTAACTTCCATATTAGTATATATTTTCTAATCCTTTTTATTGACTCCATTTTTCCCAATTTGCTGCCCATGTACCTTTTTAATCATATTTCTGGTCTCAATCGAGTTACTTCATAGGAACTTGAAAATAAAGTCAAAATTATAACAATTAATTTTAAGAATGAACCAATTTTTTCACATTTTTTAAGAAATATGTATATATTACAAACCTACTAATTTTACACAAAATACTATTATCTTAGCTTTTTCAGTGACAAGTATCACATGAAGTTTCACGCACGTAAAGATTAACTTTACCTTTAACTTTTTATGACCAATTCGAAGATTGTACTTACCTTGTCCGAACATTTCTCAAGATAAAAAAAGATATGTAAAACAAAGAAGAGAAGCGATGGAAAGTTTACTGTTCTCCAATCACGAGAACTTCTCCAGACACTGAAAGCACGTGATAACGGTATCGATTATTAGGAGAAAATATCAACTTGATGAGGTGAGTAAGGCTAGACTCTTTGCTCTAGCATTGGTTACCCAAAAGACAAGAAATAAAAATTAAATCTATATGACTCTTAAGAAAATCCAGGTAGTTCAAAAAAAAAATTAACAAATAATGTTTCCAGGTAGTATAGGTACTTATGTTCCTCATAAGAAATGGTTACGATCTTATTTTAACAGCAGCCGTGCTGGAGGAATTCTCGTAATGACATTAAAGTAATGGTTGGCACTTGTAATATTATAGCTAGCAATGTAAAAAATATCACTGCCTTAAGAAAGTAGGTTGCACAAATTTTTTATAGTCCAGCAATATAAAAATGTATCAGTTATATAATGCAACGCAATTAAATAAATCTCGGAATAACCTTAAATAATCTAGAACCAGCTTCAAGGGTCATAAATTTCATAAGAGCAACTCGACTTAGTGTATATGTCTATATTACAGCTAATGAATGATAGTTTGTCTCTAATTTTAATCAACACATTATAGAATAAATTCAATAGAATTGTGTTTTATGAACCGAAAAATAAAGAATTTAAAAAATGGTTTTCAAAAATAATTTTTAAAAATTTTCGAATCTAGGGCGCTTACCTTATGTACTTTTCATTTCCCTCATTGAAATCCAGCATAAGTTTTCTTTGCTTTAACTTGCATCTGAGATACGATCTTAGAAACCTATTTTTATATATGTTGTTTGACATGAAATAGGAAAGAATGATAAGGATTTTAAAAGTGAAATTTTTTTAAATTATTTAAAAATGTAAGGAAATCAATAAATTCATTGAACGAATATTTTTCGTCGAATTTTTGCCACTGTTTAAGGAGTTTAAATATTAGCACTTAATAAGGAACGTAATATAACAGTAATATGTAATATAGTTTGAAATATGTAATGTAGTTAGTATTAAT